CGATTTTGCCTTGAAATAAAAAATACTAGTGGAAAAGAATACTGATGAGACGCAGTTTTATTTTATTTTATACGTGGGACACAGAGTTTTGAAGCAAAATTTTGTGAGGCGGTTTTGTGGTATTTGATGTGGCTGCAAGCAAGTGGAAACTCAAGTAACAAAGCTGATACAGTGCGATTTGAATTTTTGCGCAATTTCGCGTAGCAGTTAAGGGCGTTAGTAGTACAACTGGTCTTCGCTTTGCAGCTTGTACACGTACTGGAAGCGTTGTCGGTCTTTTCCTGTGACGGTGGGAAGGGAGTGGAGAAAGAGAATGAAGCATGGGGAAAGGAGGGTGGGCTGGACGTTGGCTGGGTTGGTAAGCTACAGTGGCTGGCGCCGCGTTAAGTCTTAGCCTCCGACGTGTATTGTTGCCGTGAAGGCAGTTTGCTAACGCATCCTCAAGTTCGTCATATCCGTACGCAGAGTGTAGGTATTTATGATAGCTGATTTTGTGCTTTTAGTGTCGAACAAGAAGCGTCAGCATTCTTTTAACATTTCCACTTTCTTGCCTGTCTGATTACCGAGAAAGGGAGGAATGAGGAAAGCGGCACATGCGTAAATAATCGTTTCCTTTACACCAACAGGCTTGCAAATGAATAATAATCATCCTCATAAAACTGATTTTTCCAGTTGTAGAAGGGGGTGCTAAAATTGTGCAAAATTTAAAATTTACCTGCGCTTAACACGGTGTCAGGTATTCCCACAAAATTATATTTGTTGGTTTCCAGCAGGTGCTCTAGTTGGTGTGCTCCCAGCAGTGAACTTTGGTGTGTTCATACGGGTTACATAAGCATATGTGACAGCTGAATTTGAAATCTCCAACTCAGACAATGGCAGAAAATATTTCTATGATATTCTTGCTTAAATTCTCCTCTCTTCTGCTCTATCTTCGCTTCTTTTCTCTTGTGCTCTTTTTACCCTAGTCTTGAATCATGCTCATCACAATTAAGCGGGAAGAAGGCTGCACTGATGATTCTCACTCCTACCTGTGCGCTGTGTTCGGACTGAGTTTACAGTTGAGGGATGAAACACCGATTGCTTTCTTACACATTTTTGCCACACGCGAAATTCTGATTAATCTCTGCTGATATTTCCTATCTTGTTTTCTTCTCGAAATCGCTTTCCCGCTTCAGACATCCGCACGTGATGCCAAGATATTTGTGAAGATTTTAGGACGGAAGAGTCGCAAATGAGTAAAAACAAGCTCCAGAAGTTTCATCTTCCTAGCTCTGGTTGCTAAGCTGAAAGTGAGTGATTTTGCAATCAACATGATCCATGCCTGAAACCGTAGACAAAAAGACCCATATTGGAAGGAAAGGTTATTTAGGGGCTCAGAGCCTGGTTTTCAAAAAAGAAGTCTTTTTATTTTCTGTAGTAGATGCCCAGTTGTCCAGATATTTTGTTTGCAGCATATTTACTCTTAAAAAAAAAATCTAAGCCCTCTGATGTGCCCTTTTCATGCTTAGCGTTTTCAACAGGTAGAGAGCGAATGAATGAGTTCGGATTGATAACTATAGTTCAGCACGTACATCGTGACCCACTTTGAAGGTTTATTTGTGACGGTATTATCAATGACTGGTCAAGCGGCGCAAATGTTCACGATGCCGTTGGCCGCTTTTTTTTGCGTGACCGTAGGATGGCCATATGCATTCTACACTCACGCACTGCTGTCAGTTTTGCTGGCCTTCGTATTCGCTGCAGTTTATCACAATTCTCCGGCACAGCATCCCCTTGTCTCCGACGACGAATTTTTCAAAATTACTGAAGGCAGTAAGTTTTTTTTTTTTCTTGCTTTTCAAAAGAAAATTTTGTCAAGTTATTCTCTTGGCAGTGAAGATTACTCATCAGTTATGCACATGCACAGGCAAAATTCCAGCTTTCTCCGAAAAATGCAAAGTTCATATCTCAACAAATTTGCTAAAGTTGTGCAGCCTTCGACAGAAGGAGTCGTTGACAGCAATTCCTGTATATGGGTGCTACCAGTAGCTAGCGGCTACTCGGGCCATTTTCGGATGTATTATTATTAGATTTGAACTAATGAGAAGCTCTCACTTCAGCTAGACTGCACCAACTCGTCGTGGGAATTGCGCCAGCTTATTTTTACATTGTTTTCCCTTCAGATATTACTTACCTGCCTTACTGATATACTCTTCAAAGTCTTTTTCGTTCCTAAATATATTAGTCAGCGATGTGTGGTATCGGTAGTAGCTTTTTTCTTTTACATTCATCAAAAAATAGAACATGAGATAGTGAAATAAACCTGTTACCGCAAACGCAAAAGATTCAGAAGTCCTGATTGCTCAGTTTTATGCATATTTGTAAAACTAAACACAATACAACAAAGAACATCAGTTAAACTTTTCGGCTTTCATTGAGGGCCCAGTTTCCCTCGTTGAAGTGCAACTGATCAGTGAGTATTGCTCACCAAAAATCCGAGAAGCAATCATTTGGTTTAGCCGTGAGACCTTTTGCTCGTTCAAAACCAACTAGTCCCATGCGTTAGGAGAAAACTTTGTTGCAAATAAAAGCAAAAAAAGAATCAGCCCTGGATGGATTCCTTTTCGGCTGCTAGTGACAAATCGCTTCGATGCGTTCAATCACAAAAAAAGCGAACTCCAATGGTTACCCGACTGAAATGAAATTTCAAATCCGAAGGCAATGTCAGAAGAATTGTAGCCAGTGAGAAACGTAACTTATAAAGACCGGTTTTCGTATTCCTGTAGCATTCACAAAAAATATATCCTTTTTTCGGAAAGTGAAAATCCTTTATCAAATTCCTTTTATGAATTATAATTCACAACGGTGTATTGATCTGCCACTAAGACTGATATAATTACGGTGGTATCCTTCGCATAAGTTATTTAACAAAATTTCATTTTGTTAATGCTTATGGAACTATACTGCTACGTATAATACGCATACTACTACCTGAGTTCCTAATCCTATTCAGACGAAGTTTTTAGGACTATTCTTCTCTTGTCACGATTTTGCATACAAAAGGTTGAGCTGTACATATAGCTTACAGCGCGAATCAAGAGAGCTCGAAAAGTTGCCGTGCCACATCTTTCTATTGTTTCTTCTACAGCTGTTTGGGCTGTTTGGGCGGCATTCTTCGGTAACGCGTTCGGTTTTCAATTTAACGTCAGGTGATTATTCCTATTTATATTATAAAAGTTCCTAGTCAGTAAAATACCTTATCGAGGTCTGGGAATGGCAATATCCGAGACGAGGTGTGTGCTGAACACAAACACACACACCAGTGATATCTTGGAACGGCTAAAGCTTTGCCAAATAACTTCTGCTGGGAGAAGTGTTGAGCGGATTTTTCACGGTGGTTGATTAGCTTCATCGAAGCAGACGATTTTTTGAGAATTTTTTTCAGGTACATGCCAATTTATTTCAATAAAGTGCTTGGCGTGCCAGTTGGACGTACTGGTGCTTCAGCCGTGATACCGCCAGCATCGCAACTCGTCGTTAAGCTGATCCTCAGTGCGGTCGCCGATCATCTGAACTGCTTCAGTGTAATATTCTTTTTTACATCCCGCGATTTCAATGCGCTTGTTCCATTTTGCTGCTCAAACTCATAAGTTTCTCGGCAGAGTTATCTAT